GTATGTGTTACAATGTTGCTTAGAGTGCAGCTGAGAGGCCGGCAAGGCAGGCGGGGAACCTTGGCTTCCTCCGTCACTGAAGCAAGCAAGCCTCCCTGTTCGCGTCAGCTGCCTAGCTACTGGCCGCCATCTTGGTTGGAGGTTAATTTGCATATCTTGCTGATTAGCCAATGGGAAGGGTAGTGAAGTTACAGCTAATTACCATGTTTCTCTTTTATTAGATAGGATTATTATTAATAGCAAAGCTATCATTTAAAATTGAAGGAGACATAAAGAGCTTCCTAGATAAGAAAAAGCTCAAGGAGATAATCACCACCAAATCAGTATTATAAGGAAGGTTAAAGAGACTTAAGAAAAGGAGAAAATAAAAAGCAAAAATGTAAAGAAGAAAATCATCATGATGTAGAATACATGACCAACATTGTCAACCATCTCCACCTGACAAATAAAGACCCTTTCACCCAATCAATACACAATTCAAGTTGTTTTCAAATTCACATAAAAAATATGGACATATAAAATTTTAGTAGAAAAAACAAGTCAACACATCTATAAGGTTGAAATGATAAAGCATACGCTTTCTGATTAGAACTGAATTAAATTTAAAATACGTAGCAAAAATAAGTGAAAAATCACCAGGTGTTTGTACATTAAACAACACCAATTCAAATATTTCAAAGGTTAAGATAGAAATAACAAAGAAAATTTGAAAAAAAGTTAAACTGATTCAAAATAACAAGGCCTAGCAAGTGGAGCTCAGTGCTTAAGGGCTGACCTATGAACCAGGAGGTCAAGGTTCAATTCCCAGTCAGAGCACACACCAGGGTTGCAGGCTCCATCTTCAGTAGGGGGCATGCAAGTGATAGCTGATCAATGATTGTCTCTCATCATTGATGTTTCTATCTCTCTCTCTCTCTCCCTCTCTCTCTCTCTCTCTCTCAATTTCTCTCTGAAGTCAGTAGAAAACAAACAAATGAGTAAATAATCCAAAAAGTATGGAATATAGCTAAGACAATGCATTCATAACATTAAAAACTATAAGAGAAAAGACTGTCAATCAGTGGTCAAAATTCCTACTTTAAGCCTTGGGTGGTATAGCTCAGTGGTGAGAGTGTTGTCCCCAGAACCAAAGACTCCCACATTCAATTTCTGGTGAAGGGCCTGTACCTGTGTTGCAGGTTTGATCCCTGGCCTCCTTTGGGGTGTGTGCCAGAGGCAACCAATGAATGTGCCCCTCCCTCACTGGATGTTTCTCTCTCTCTCTCTCTCTCTTTCTCTCTCTCTCTCTCTTCCTCCTTACCTGCTTCCCCCCCTCTCTTTCACTCTTTCTAAAAATTAATGGGTGAAGATTAACAAAATGAAATAAACAAAAATATCTCACTCTAAGAAATTAGAAAAAGAACAAATTAAATACAGTGCACACACTCAGAAACACATGCACACTTTCATATATGAATGTGCATTTACATATACACACACAAAGGATACTAATAAGTGAGAGCAGAAACCTGTGATATAGAAAGGTTAAAAGTAAATAAATAAATTAATTAATTAATTAATAGCAGTAAAATTTATACTTAAAAAACATCAATGAGCCCTGGGTGGTTTGGCTCACTGGATAGAGCGTTGCCCTGTGGCCTGAAGGGTCCTGGGTTCAATTACGGTCAAAGGCATATGCCCAGGCTGCAGTATCGAATTCCAGTAGGGGTGTGCAGGAGGCAGTCGATCAATGATTCTCTCTTATCATTGATGTTTCTATCTCTCTCTCCTTCTGTCTTCCTCTTTAAAATCAATAAAAATATATTAAAAAACAAACAAAGAAAAATCAGTGACCTTGACCAATGATAACTAACTTGGCCAAAAATAATCACAAAATCAGGAATAAAAGGAGCCATTACTGTTAGTATTGAAGAAATGAAAAATATTCTAATAAATTATAATGATTAATTTCATGCTTATGAATCTGACAACTTAAAATGGACAAATTTCTATAAAGATATACATTATCCAGAACTGACTCAAGAAATATATATATATATATATAACTGAGAAAACCTAATACAAGTAAAAAAAAATATTTTGAACTTTGCCATCAACATAAAGGTTCAGAGTGAGATGGTTTCACTGGTGAATCTACTGAATAATTAAAAAATACATAATGCCAATTCATCACAATTGTTTATTCAGAAAATTCAGAAAGAACAGAAAAATTTCAACTTATTCTGAAAAGAAAAGGAACAAGTCATGGATCATGAAGAGATACCTGAATAAAGTTCTAGGTTAGATCACAGACACAGGGGCCTACAGAATACAAGGAATCTTCTCTTCACAGTCAATTTTGTACTTTAATTGATACATAAGAAGCAACCAGACGTTTCCTTGTTGTTCATGCATTCAACAATTCCAATAACCTCTGAAACAGATACAGGGCAGGGTCACTGCAAGACGAATGGAACCTCAGGGTCAACACCACAAACTACACAGTCACACAGCAGAGAAGGAAACTTAGTCTTAATTTTCCTTAAGTTCAGATGCTGGGGCTTATTTCTAAGTCTTACCTGCAGCATCTCTACTGCTGACCCCTGCAACCGATGCTCCAGATCTGATGGGCACTTAGGCTGTTTCCAGATCTTAGCTATGGTGAATTGTGCTGCTATGAAGAAGCAGATTTTTCTTTGTTGTTCATGCATTCAACAATTTCAATAACCTTTAACACAGATGCAGGGAAGGGTCACGGCAAGACCAATGGAACCTCAGTGGCAGCACCACAAACAACACAGCCACACAGCAGAGAAGGAAACTTAGTCTTAATTTTCCTTAAGTTCAGATGCTGGGGCTTATTTCTAAGTCTTACCTGCAGCAACTCTACTGCTGATCCCTGCAACTGATGCTCCAGATCTGAGATGAGATCTCTCAGCAAATTCCTCTGCTGGGCCAGCTCACTCTCAGCCTGAGCCAGGTCATTGAGATTCTCTGCCACCTCCTTCTTCAGCCTTTGCAGCTCCTTTTGCTCCACACTGGTGAAGATATCCCTCAGTTGTTTAAAGTAATTATGGAAACTTTTCAGTTCATTTTCTATTTGATCCTTCAGGAGTGAGAAAGAAAGACATGGACTCAGGTTATCAGGCAGACTGGGAGCCAGAAAAGAAAGTATCTGAACTGGATGTTCTCAGAGGGAATGAAATGGAAGCAGAGGAGCATTACTTTGTGACATGCTTACTTCCAGCCCTGTCCCTACCAGGGAAAGCATAAAGAATGGCTGATCAATGACTCTGGACATATCACCTGTCAGAAAACAAGAAAGAAGGGAGCTCCTTGTGACTAAAACCCAAAGTCCTGCCCCGATTCTTGGTTAATTACCAGAAAGAGTCTCCTCCTACCTTCTTGGAAGTTCCCTCTTCTTCAAGGTCATTATCCAATTTTTCAGCTTTCCGCTGCTCTGCCTTCAGCCTGTCCAGAGCTGCCTGGAGCTTTTCCTATGGGAGAGGAATCAGTTCAGGGTTAAGCTATGGGCTCTCTCCTCATCAGAAGAGAGGATTAATGGGAAGAAACAAGGGTCATCTCTAAAGAAACTGTAAAATGACCATTAGAACCTGTGATTTGAAGGAAACCTGATGTGGTTATATGTTCTTTAAAACTCACATGATAGAAGTCACCATTACTATATCAAGAGAAGACTGGTTCTCTTTGCCCTAGAAGAAAATATTGATACTGTAATAAGGAAAGAACTTAGGTCTTGATCTATCCAGCTGCGCAGTTACCCCTCATGTCTAAAGGGATGATGACAGCTTTGCTTGTGCACCAAACCTCTACCTATTAGCACAAGGTCTGAAAATATCTACTCCTTTACAGTCTGCTCATCATTTGTAATTGTGTGGAATGTATAGAAATGCCCTTCAGGCTTTGGAAGGCGAACATAGGAAGAAAAGTGATCATAGGCCTCAGGACTGTGGTGGCAAGAAAATTACTGTCAAATACAAAAGTTGAGATTTCCCATCAAGTACTATTTTCTGCCCTGTCTTTCCTCCATCCTGGTCTCTTACCTTGTACTCCTGGGCAATCTCCTCCATGAGGAAGGTGTGGTGACCACGGTGCTCTTGAGACCGCTCACAAAGCCAGCAAATGATTTTCTCATCCTCCTGGCAAAAGAGCCGGAGTTTTTCCCCATGGCGCACACAGAGATCTGTCTTTTGCTCCTCCTGTGGGCTCAACTTGACCTCCCTAAGCGCCTCCACAATGTTGGCCACATGTCGATTGGGACGCATGTTCTCAGGCTGGTAAGTGCTCCTGCACACAGGGCAGCTGCTCTCTCTTTGGCAGATCATGGACTCTCTGTTGTGTGCAGTGATGCAGGCTTGGCAAAATGTGTGCCCACAGTCCAGGCTCATGGGTTCTGTTAGGAGCTCCAGGCAGATGGGGCATGTTACCTCCTTCTTCATGTTCACCACGATTCCTGAAGCCATCACAGCTGCTCCCATGCTCGTTTCTCTCTTGATCTGAGGCTTCTGTTGCTCGCTGATCTCTGCCTGATTGGAAACATTAATGGGGGGCAGAGTAAGAATGGTAGGAATAAACATTGCTAATTGTGTAGAAATGAAGGATGGAGCAAGAACGGATGTAAAAGGACAAAAAAGGAAAAGTAGAGAGACAAGGCAAGGAGCATGGTGACCTAGAAAAAAAGACTATTTGTACCAATATTATTTATTTTAATATTTTTGTTAGTCTTCACTTGAGGATTTTTTTGCCATTGATTTTTACACAGGGTAGAAGGTAGGAAGGGGTAGAAAAAGAAAGGGAGAGAGAGAGAGATGAATGTGAGAGAGACAGATAAATTGGTTGTCTGCCACTGGTACACAAATCTGGGTGGTGATGAAACTTGCAACCCTGGTAAGTTTCCTTGACCCTTCCATGCACAAGCCAACACTCCAACCACTGAGAAATTCCAGCCAGGCACATAAGAGTTTTAAATACTTTTATTTAACATTTTCATCTGTGCAATGGTTGTTATTGCCCTTTACTTTTACTAAACCAAAGGATGACCTGAGGCGTTTTACAAAGAAAAAAATGTTTGTGTGACCCAGCATCTTTCCCGCTTAATCTTTCTTATGCAAAAAACATCTCCAAACCAATTTTGGGTCTGGGCTTTTATACCTGTTCTTTCATCAGGCATTGCTACCCTGGTACCAGTAGGACTCAGTTTCATCCTTCGGTTAACAATCTCTTTCCATGTTCCTTTATCAGAAAGACCTGCTCTGGCTATCATGCCTAAACTGGCAGTCAGATATCCCTCTTGCAATCCAGGACCACTGGCTCCTATCTGCTCATCTGCCTGCCTGCCTGATCGCCCCTAACCACTCTACTTGCCTGCCTGATCACCCCTAACCACTCTGCCTGCCTGCCTGATGCCCATAACTGTTCTGACCCCTAACCACTCCGCCTGCCTGCCTGATGCCCATAACTGTTCTACTACCTGCCTGATTGCCTCTCAGTACTCTTCTCTGCTGGCCTGATCACCCCTAAGTGCTCTCCCCTGGCAGCCTGATCGCCCCTAACCACCTCTGCCTTGGCCCCCACCACCGTGGCTTTGTCTGGAAGGACATCCAGAAGATGTCTGGTCTATCCATTCTAATTAGCATAATACCCTTTTATTAGTATGGGTGATATGTGACAATGTGTTTGTGTAAATGGCATGAGCAAACCCTTTATCAGATGTGTACATAAAGTTGGTGAGTGACTTACAGAGACCATTTATTTTCAATACACAGAGTTGCAATGATCATAATGTATTCAGGGTCCCCCTTCCTACCTTACAGGGTTAATTAAAGACAAAATAGGTAACTTAGGAGGTTCTGGGGAGTCTTGTTGGATAAATAGTACAATTTCATGTTTGCCTGGAAGTATGCCAAGGATATTGACAGGAGCCTAATGGTGTGTATGTATATTGATGATGGGGAGGGAGATAGAATAAAGATGTTCATAGGATCACACAAGTCACATATCTGAAAAAATAGAAACACAGATAAAGTAAATATCAGTCTTGCAAAAGAATTCTCAAAATATTAGGCAAGATCATTCAACTAATTTTTCATCACTATGAATTACATGCTAATAAAGGGTTGTCCAGAAATTCAAACTTAAATACCTAAGGGTTGAACTGAAACCTGAGGAAGATAAAGGAAATAGTGTATATGGGAGAGAAAAAAAATTATTAGGTAAAGGAAATGACCCGTTCATTGAAGATGCACCACATTGTCTGAGATGGAAAATGCCAATGTGGCTCGTGTGAGAAAACTGCTAGGCCTTTGGCATCACATGAGCCTGCAGTGACCTATGGCACTTAGTGAATTATGGAACGTTTAAGAACACTTTGCAAAGAACAAAAGTAATCACCAGTGTTGGGCTGTGGAGTAATTGATGGATCCAGTGGGGGATTGGGAAGATGAGTAGGGTGCACATACAGTTGCCCAGGGGAGAGGTGATGATAGCTTTCAGGACAAGAAGATGAAGGACATGGAGAGCAGGTGATGAGTAAGACATAGGATGAGGTAAGAAGAAAGGATTGGAAGTTATTAGATTATGGAGAACAAAAGGTTAACATCAGGCCTGGGTTCTTTCTTCCTAGAAAGGTAATATTGGATAAGTCTTCTAATTTGTTCTTTTGTTATTTTTGTCTGGAAAACTCATGAGGCTATAATAAAGTGGAAGATCAGCTTCCTTACAAGGCCAGATTGTTGATAGCAAAATTAGCCTGATGTGGAAAGTGCATTTGGATTTAGGAGGATTTCATATAGACCTCAAATGCCGGTTAATATGCTTAGGTTTCATTTTTCGTAAGGGGACTGTGACTTTAATAACCACCTGTGTATCTTTATAGCCCTTGGATGCTATGCCTATGGGTTTTCACAATGTAATTTTCCCTCTCTAGCTCTAGGCTTACTTAAACTTTAGTGGTTTCACACACATCTACTAAGTCTGGCTCCTTAAAAGGCTAAGATGACAGAAATAAAGTACCTTCCATAGCACTGTGAAGACCACCACTAATAGCTTCGCTAAGGCAGCCAATGTCAGCATGCCCTGCCTCCTGTCCCATATCCTCAGCTCAGCTAAGTTATCTTGACAACTTATATCTCACAGGTCACAAGTTGGTAATGACCATCCAAATTGGAAAGGATGCTGGTGGTCAGTCAAAGAGGTGTCGACAATAAAGACCACATGCTAACCTGTGTAGCTCAGGAAAGGCCTGTGTGGTAGCCTTGCAAATTCAGAGACCTAAAATAACCACAAAGAATGGTTTGAAATTTAAAAAAAATTAAATAAAAAAGCATTTTTGTTGGTTAGTCATATCCTAGGCTGGCATTTTGGCCTGACAAAGTCCATCTTTACTTTAATTGAGCTTGTCTATTGTCCTTTTGCATCTACAATAACATAGAGTTGGAATGTCCAGGTAATTTCCTTTTTTTCTGGACCCCTCAAAGCACATGCACCACAGTACAGAGACCACAGATACCCTCATTGTTATTGAGTTAATTGTTACTGTTAACTATCGTACACCCACCTAAGTAAAAGTAGAATATGTCTATTATTTTACTTTTTATCCAACCCCAGAGTTCTGTACCCTCCCCTCTTTGCTTTCTTCTGCCTCAGCCTCACTAATCTATCATCAATTGGTTCCATATAACATACTTATATCTTCTCTTTTGATTCTAATCCTATATAATAAAAACCCAGCGACTGAACAGTAGAACGAACAGAACAAACAGAACGACCATGGCCCCTTGCCTCTGGCTGGCAACACCCCCAAGTGGCCCCCACACCTTGATCTGGGGCAGGGCCTTTCGGCAAACCCCCTGTGGCCCTTTGCCCCACCTGACCCCAATCCTGATTGGCCTTCATTGGGGAGGGCTGGCTGGACCCACCAGTGCATGAATTCATGCACCAGGCCTCTTGTGTATAATATAAGATGCAAAACTGCCATTCTCTAGAGCATTATCTCAATCCATTGAGATTCTGCTCCCAGCAATTGTGGGCGGTTTGGCTTAAATAAACACACGAAACTTCCTCACAGGTTTGAATGTTTCTTATGTTACCAGAGGGTTTACAGGGTGGTAACATAGTGATGCTCATTCTCCCACCTGGACTTGGTATGGCCTTGTGGCTACAGTCTAAGATCAGGAGTTCTCTCAGGAACTTCAGGTAAATGGGACTATGAAGAAACAAAGAAAGAAAAGGTCTCAGTAGATATTCATGTCTTGATGGTTGCCAAAGTTTTTTGGTAAAAAAATGATCTGAGTATCAGTTAATAAATTTTCCCTTTGCGCTCTTCTCTGAAGGGAAAAAATTATAAAGGCTGCATGGAGATGAATTTGACTTGCTAACAGTGTCTACTAGTGCCATGGTCATCATATGTGAAGGGAACTTGATAAGGAATGAAGTTGAAGGAGAAGAGACGTGTATTCCAGCTGGTGGTCCAGATACTAAACACAGCCCAGAGGCCACATGCAGATAGCCCCTGGCTGCAGGATTAGGATAGACATTGTTTCAGGGTAGATATCATTTAATATCTATCCCTGGTTTATCATTTTCAGCATTTATGATCCAAATTTGGGGTAGGAGCCTCCAATTATTTTGTGTCTCATCCATGACCCAACCAATCCTGAGATCTACCAGGAGACTGTATAGGAGGGAGGAGCAGGGTATGCATTTTCCCTTGGGGCTGAATAATTTATTTTATGGCAGGGCTACAAGGAGCTAAGGTCAAAGCAGCTGCTCCCACAGGACACAAAAGAGGAAAGTACAGAGGAGCATGAGTCCTCACACATGGAGTTTGACCCTGCACCACCTACACAGTGACTAGGGTTCCACAGCAGGCAGGCAGATAGATATGGGAACAGGAGTGGTGTCTGCGCTGGAAGGATATCACAAATGTGAAGCCCATCCTTGAGGACTTAGGGGTTTGTGCCCTACATGAGGCTCCCTGCAGACCTGCACCAGAAACCTGAACCCACAGAGTGCCTGCCTTCAAAAACCAACAAGGCTTGTGTCCAGAAGAACCCTAGGGGTGTAGGGTTCAGGATATTCCTCTTTTAAAGGGCAGGTGCCCAGGACTTAAAGGTCTTTTAGGACTTGCTCCATGACCCGCGCAAAAGCAGACTTTTGAGAAATGCTTACCTAGACCAAGTGTGAAGGAGATCCCTTTCCTGGGAAGAAGTGGAAGCCTATTGGACTCACCTGAGTCAGAGATTCAGGGGTTGGGGCAACACTGATGCTCCACCCCCTACCTTGTGAGAGCAGGGCTGCATCTCCCTCTAACACAGTGGTTCTCAACCTTCCTAATGCTGCAAACCTTTAATACAATTCCTCATGTTGTGGTGATCCCCAATTTCATTGTTACAAGTTGAACATAATTAAAGCATAGTGATTAATTACAAAAACAATATGTAATTATATATGTGTTTTCCAATGGTCTTAGGCGACCACTTGGAAAGGGTCATTT